TATTATTGCACTTAAGATAAATGAAATTTTCACACGAGGGAATGAAAGCGTGGAAAGGAACGATGCTTTCAGTTGTCACTTCCTCACAGTGTTTGCTTCTTAACGTTGGTTTTCCCAAGTCTTCCATTTTATTCTTCGAACGATCATTAAAAAAACTTATCTTCAATTCCCACTTCGAGAAATATAGTAAGTACAATATCGTTTTATTTAAAAAATAACAATAATAATAATAATCACCCATAATAACCCGCATTCTTTTAGAAATTATTCGCTCGAGGAATGTTGCAAAAATGACCATGATTCTACCGTTATACCTGTTAACCCTTCAACAAATGAATTATCCGTACCATTTACCGATCATCGAACGATCCGTCAAAGATCTTCTCGACACGAGCCAATTTTTGAACGTCCTATTCGTCGTTCAAAATTCTCTCGGCCGTGATCCCTTGGACGATCTCCAGTTGATCGACGAGATCTACAAAACCGTGTCACGCACCATACCGACGAATTTCGTTTCCTTCAACGACTCGATCCCGATCGAATTACCGGACATCGACGCGACCGAGTCTACGCTCATCTTATACTCGTACGTGGCGAAAGATTTCCCTGATCGCCGTCGAAGAGAGGACATCGCCCGTTTCATAGAGCACTGCCAGAACCGGTCCAAAGTATTGTTGATAACCAAGCTCGAGGAGATAAACTGCAACTTCGAGGGATTTTTAAAACAGATCTGGTACGACGAGTTGATCGACATGACGGTGTTAGAGTTATCCAACAACTCTCAACTCTCGATAACCATGCACGTTCATCGATACAACCCTTTCACCAACACGTACGATCGAACGCCGTACACCCCGACTCTCGACTGGTTCCCCAACAAGTTGATCGATCTTCACGGCCACCCGTTTCGCGCTACCATTTTGGAACGCGAAGGCTACATAAATCTGACGGTCGACTCTCGATCCTGTCCTATCTCGTACAAGGGTCCCGACGTGAAACTCCTTCACACGCTTGCACGCATCATGAACTTCACGATCGTGATGCTGCCCAACAACGACGCCCTTACGAGCCTGATGGACGGCGATCTGGACATCATAATACCGAAGCTACCGTTATTCCCCGATCCGCGTTTCGACCTGTTGGACCACACGTTGCCGTTCGAGTACGAGAAGTGGTGTCCAGTCGTACCGATCACGTACCAAGTGAACACCATCGAGTCACGAGCTTTCGCAGCTATAATCGCGAATATAGTGATCCTTCTCGCGTTCTGGGCAATATCGGCTCTGTTGAGGTTCGAGAAGAGGTTGTGGCAACCGTTGAAGATATTCGGGATCTTGATCGCGACGAGCGTCTCGATGAAGCCGGACAGAACGTTGGAGAGGATCGTGTTCTTCCTGATTGTATTGGCGTCCGTCATGTACTCGGCCAATCTTTACGTCGACTTGACGAGCGTAAGCATGGCGGACACGATGGAGACCGAGTACAAGAGTTACAAAGATCTGGACGAATCCGGATTGACGCCTGTCGTCCTCCACATGATATTCAACGTCACCTTCTTCACCGACGACCAGGCATTCAACTCGTTGAAGAGGAAGGCGATCGCCGACGAGGACATGGAAAATTGCACCGACGTTCTGTCCAGATACAGAAACGTTACCTGTTTCATGGAGTTGAGAGGGATAAACGCGTTGATTTACTCCCAAGCGAAGAGGGATTCGGCTACTATGAAGGTGTGCAGAAATTTGTGCTACGCAAAACCTCACGCGACTTACTTTCTAAGGAAGCACTCGCCGTTCAGGAGTAAATTCGATACGATCATATCGAGGTTGGAGGCGGCAGGTATTCGCAAGAAGTGGCACTACGATTTCGTAGGGAAATTTTTTCCAAAAAAGGCGCGTCCTGTTAATCGAAATTTGTACGAATCGTCGCTCGTCTGGAATCTGGTTTACGTAGGGGTGATTGGATTCTTGTCGTCAATCGTGGCGTTTTTTTGCGAAATTCTCGTGTACCACGCGCACAAAAGAAGGAAAAATGATCGAACGTGAAACTATATATATATATATATTAGTGTGTATCGATGTGTTTTCGCGTTTTTTAAAATTAAAAAGTTAATCGATGTATAAAGAAATCGCTTTGTAGGGTTTCTATAGGGACGATCTATCGATTAAAATATTACGTGCAAATATAGTATAGGCTGTGATCTTTTTGAAATGATAAATCTACGCTTCGAACAATTTTCGTTGCATCGTTTATCAGATTTATCACGTTTGATATTACAAATTTCATCTATCATCTTCTTATATTTTAAAATAATTTCCAGTTATTCTAATATATTGTTAGAAGCAATCGACAGGCGAAATGTCAGTTGAAATAATTCGATATTGGAGCGGATTGAAATTCTGAAAAGGAACCCGAAGCTTCGCCCCAATCCAATAATAAATTGGAAACCACAAAGCGGAAAATTTGTCGATTTTCTTCCTTTTTTAATTGATCCATCGGCTAGAAGCGTTTAAAATAACTTGGAAAGTTATGGAGAAGTGAAAAATTTAAGAATCAAAGGTGGGAAATAAATCGACTCTTTAAGAATGAAAAAAAAATTAGGAAATTCGATTTGAATTTTTCTCGATTCTCAAACTTTTCGAATATTCGAATCTTTATAATATTCCGTAATATTTTAAACAATCTAATATTAGGAACAATTTAATGATCCTGTTATTCTGTTGTTGTGTCTTCAAATGCCAACCTATTTTCAGTACGTTGGTGCGTTAAACGAACTTTAACGATGAAACGGAATAATTTATCGACAAATTAACCAACTATACACTAGATAATCCCCGGTAACAAGATCCAAATAAAACTACAACTAACCATACCATAAAAGCCGACCATAATAGTGAAGCAAAATGGTCGAACAGTTCAAGATCGATATCCATATTCCTACCTCCTATTAATAATCAACAATGTCTCTCTCTTTCTATGCAAGTGTTAGAAAAAAAAAATAAATAAAAAATGCAATAACCGTTCAATAACATTCAAGCCTCGTGATGAAACCTGAACAATTTTCCACGCGCAGAAATTACCTCTCTCTTCCTCCCTTTGTGCCTTGTGTCTGTTAACGTGGTTATTCAACAGTCGCATATTCCTCGATAACTTCCCCTGAGACATCCCCAGGAAATACACCAGTCAAGTGTGTAAGTACACGCAGATTCGATATTTTTTTTCGTCAAATTTTTCTATATAATAATAAATTCTCATCTATATATATATATGATTCTCGTGTCAAGGATTTTCATCTTACCCTTTCATTTTTCAAAATTTAACTTTTAAATTTAAATTAAATATCTACGTATATGATTCTCTACATATAAATCTCTAATCGTACGATTGTTTTATTACAAATTATATTTTAATAAAGACGAGTTAATAAGTTTAAAACGATGTCAACAATATCAAGATTTCTTCCTCTTTCTCGACAATTCAACATTTACAAGATTTCAATTTTCAAAATATTAAAAATCAAATGATTAATACATCGATATCAATATCCAATGTATAAATCTAATTTGTTCATCCACCGCATTCCATTTACGCATTTTTATATCGAAAATAAAATAAACCAAACACGTGACTGGCCTCGATCTTACTTTCGTCCTTTTTCAGGGATTCCCCTCCTGCGCGTGAAACGATAAAACGAAAGGGAAAAATCATCGTCACCGTGTTTGAAAACTACTTTCAGAGGCCCGTTCGGCGAGAGGAACACCCTGCGATGTTTTTCCCTTCTCTAGCCGTTCGCCTTTCCATTTCCGCCGCCTACCCCCCGCTGACAGTTCCGCTCCCGCTGCGAAGCCGCGC